AACTCCCAGTATCCTTCACCACCCCCTTTTGCTGGCCAGGATTTCTGGGAGTTGAAGTCCAAGAACATCTGGAGGACCCCAAGGTTGGGGGAATCACTGGGATGGCGGTACTTTTGCTGCTGCGAATTTGTTTCCGCTTCTGTGTTTTTTGTTTTGTTTCTTTAGGTCTTCAAATCAATACTTTGTATTACGGTCAAAGACCAGTAAAACCAAATCAACATAAAATAGATACATATAATTATGGCTTGGTAAGATCAGTCAAGGTAATAAAATTCCATTAAAACCTTCGGGTAGTGTGGGCGGCATATAAGTTAAATAAATAAATAAAATAAATGAATAAAACATGATAAAACAACCCTTCTTGTGTTCATGGATCCTTCCTGTCGATCTTCAGTACCGCTGTGGTGGGCTTTTTGGTGGCGGTGTCAGCCGCCTTGGGGTTCTTTTCAAGGAGAGAGGTGGGCGGGATAATAATAATAATAATAATAATAATAATAATAATAATAATAATAATAATAATAATAATAATAATAATAATAATAATAATAATAATAATAATAATAATAATAATAATAATAATAATAATAATAATAATAATAATAATAATAATAATAATAATAATAATAATAATAATAATAATAATAATAATAATAATAATAATAATAATAATAATAATAATAATAATAATAATAATAATAATAATAATAATAATAATAATAATAATAATAATAATAATAATAATAATAATAATAATAATAATAATAATAATAATAATAATAATAATAATAATAATAATAATAATAAATAAACACACTGGGAAGCCCCTTCCTTAAACATCTCGCTCCCTATAAGTCATTTCCAACTGGACAGCACCCGACAGACAAGAAGCAGGCCCATCTGGATGGATGTGCACATCTGGAACCATTCTTGGGAGGGGGGGAAGAATCCCACCTCTTTTCAGAATGCATCTGGGAGGGAGCATCAAAAAGCTGTATCATCTGTAAGCATCTGGCTGCATCAAAAGCAAGGAGCTCTTTTGAGCTGAAGGGAAGTAGCCAGCAGTGGTCGCATCCGGGAAGGGGGGGAAGGTGCCTTTTGTCTGATGAAGTTTGAGCACCAGCTGGGAGGTTTCCACCTCCCCCCCCCCACTCCCTGCCCCAGTTTTTATTGAATGTATTGTTCTTAAGTGCTTTATGATGAATACAAAAAGAGGGGGGGGAGGAAGGAGAAAATGGTGGAATTACATAAGATTCTTAGGATCTAATCATCGGCATATATGCATTAGTATAAGCTGTCCATATGTTTCCCCACCACCACCACCACAAAAATAAAAAATCAGGTTGAAGTTGATTTGCGGGGGGAAAAAACACATTTATGCATAGACAGAGGGGCAAGGCCATGAATACGGCCTATCTCTCCACAGCAATTCACGCCTTCGCTAGACTACAACAAGGCGTTTTGCATGGGGCCGCCCCTTGGATTCTATTCAGAAGGTTCAGCTCATGCAGAATACGACAGGCAAAGCGCCGTTGGGAGAAAGGTATCCATCATCATCTAAATCAAATCAAATCAATTTACAGTATTGTCATTGTCGGCCGCCCCTTGGATTCTATTCAGAAGGTTTGGCTCATGCGGAATACGACAGGCAAAGCGCTGTTGGGAGAAAGGTATTCATCATCATCTAAATCAAATCAATTTATTGTCATTGTAAGTATATACATAGCGTAAACATACAACGAAATTCACACAGACACCCAGAGACCAGACCCACATGCACACACATAAAAAAATCCCCAAACACTCCCCACCCACGAAAAATCCCCTAAATAATTATTGTCTACTGTATTTTCTACTGTGTTATTCAGTATTATCTACTGAATGATTAACCCATTCCTTCCATCTCCCATCTTTTTCTTTCTTTCTTTTCTTTCTTTCTTTTTTTGCGATGAGTAATTGCTTGTGTTTGCTTTCATGAACACGACCAGCAAAACGGCCAGACTCGTCACCGTCTCGTTTTATTCCTGGTTCCTTGGACACCCAGCACAACGGGAGGCAATGTTTGACTCCCAGCAAATCAAATCGAACCGGATCGAATCAAATCCAGGCCCCTTCCCCTTTCACCCTGGTCTTAATACTGAAAATTGAAGTATTTCCTCCACATTTAATTTCATGTTCTCCGGAAGGGACGACCCACCGCCCCTAGTAGGGAGGATATGGTTATCCGTCTCCGCTTGGATTTTGCCGGTGGGAAACTTTAGCCTGTCAAAAACCAGCCCGCCTCATTGTGTTCTGGAATGTGTTGATTGACAGCCGCTGGTCCGGTTTATACATCTTTTATGAACCAGATCATCTTTCTGAGCTCTTGGGAACTCGACTTCATTTGAGCCCCAGCGGGGGTTCATCAGGGACCTCCTGGGGTCGGAAGCTTGCTTGTCGCGATGGTTCAGCCTTAGAACGCACCACGTTGGGGCCGAGAAAGAGTTACTCTGAGCCTGTGCAGAGTTCCTTCTACCACGGTGGCAGAACCGACATGATCATGAAGAGAAAGGGGAAGCGATCAAGGGGGAAGGCTTGCAGTTGAGGCAGAGGTGGAAAACCAGGCCTCTTGTTGGAGTTTTGTCTCGCGTGTTTGTGTACGGGCTTCATTTCTATCCTCATTATAACACAGATGGTACCGTTTCAGCTGCATATGCACTGACACTATGAGAAGGGAATTCTCTTTCACCCTCTATACGGGAGATGACGGAATCCGCATCCCACCGATAATTCTTCAAGATACTTTCCCCCCAAATGCAGCACAATAACAGGGATGTTTCCAAGTCTTTGGTTTTGAGATCCGAGTTCAAGTTTTTGGTACTGAATCCCAAGTCCAAATCCCTACTAAAACCAATCTTCCCCCCCCACACACACACACACTAACAAAGGGAAGGGTGGATGGGTTCCGAGTCACTGAAAAAAAATCTGCGTGTCGAGTCTGAGTCGAGTCTCCAAGGCGACTTCAGCGAGTCTCGCACTTCGAGTCCCCATTGCGGGCAGTAATAATCTATTTGTTGAATGGGAAGATTGCACAGAACTCAGATGAGGTCAAAGCTGGACATCAGTGGCAGAGGACAGAGGAAGGGGGCAGGCGAGGCAATTCGCCCGGAGCTTCTGATGTGATGCCCAGAAATATGGAATTCCTACCAGGCAGAAGGGCATCATCTCTTACTCTCGGCAGACCTTCTCGGTTCTTCTGAGCTCAGACACAATTCTAATTAATAAAAGGGGGGAGGGAATACATTTTTCATATTTTTTTAAAAAAATACATTCTGCCTAGGAAGCTATATGGTTGTGGGCTCTCCCTGGTATCGTTCACAACCAAGCTGTTTTCAGATGGCTTAGTTTTAAACGGGCAATTGAGAGCCATTAGCTCGACAAATGAGCCACTCTTGGCCATCATGAAAATGGCTAGGACTAGTTTACAGATGTCACTGAGTTATCCAGCCGGCAACAGATATAGCTAATATTTCTGTGGATTGTTGCACAATAGTGCCTTTAAGCAAAGGATGAGAGGCATGAAACACAACGGAGGTGTGTACGGATACCAAAAGGGGTGAGGCTGTAGAACTGACCCTTACGGAAAATGGTCTCCTTGCCTTCGTCCTGAATGATTGACCAGCCAAACCGAACCAGAAAATGCCTCCGTGGTTTAGAAGTAGGTCTGACTGAATTCTTGGCTCAAGCGCTCAGAGATGCGTTGGGAATTTAGAGCATTTTTTAGACCTGTGTGGAAGCTCAACCAGCTGGAGAAAAGGGGAGATAAACAGATTGCCTCCGGGATTTTGAGGACTTTCTAAATGCTGCCTGTTATTATATCTTAATGGATTTGCTTCTCCAGTCTAATGCAGTCGGTCAAAATACTCCAGG